GCACAGCCTACCTCTCGGTTCCTGTCCTTCACAATTTCTCCACCTGGCAGGGAAAATGAACCTTGAACCAGAGTAACTCAAAACTCTGAAGGGAAGGTTGGGAAACGCAATTGCAACCATCACAGCACAAAAGGTTAGGCCAATAAGAATTTCCCTTCAGGGAGAAAGTTCCAGGTCCCTTGCAAACATTCCAGATCAGCCAAAGAGTGAGCCAAGGGGGAATCCAAAGGAAGAAGATAGTATCAGTCAGAGCCTGAGGGCCAGTGAAGACCCAAACCACTTGCCTTGGTAATGTTCCTGCCTTAGTTTTCCAGGAGCTCAAGATACATAACCTCCTTGAAGGGGTCTCTAGACCAGGTTTTCTCAACAGGGACGATAGCGCCCCCAACTGGACAAAAATTAGTACTTGAGGGTGAAAACAAAATGGCCGTGGCTCTCTAAAGCTCAACCCATTCTGACAAAATCTTACCCCTCGGCATTTCATTTCATAAGAGGGGAGGAGGTTGAGGATAAAGATCTAAAAAAGTTCTTTATGGAGGCCTCCCTGGTGGCGCCAGGGGTTAAGATGCAACCTATGAAGTTATCCACAGCCACTGGAAGCACAAGTTTGATACTGTGGAACCAAGCTTAGCTGAAGTTTCTCCATTTTGTATATCCTCCACCTTGATATGTTAGTCCTTGTCCAGCCACATTCTGGAGATAGTTTCAGTAGTCACAACCCTCACTCCACTTGGTGACAAAAAAGCAGACCACCCCAGCCGCCAATGAGGGCAGTCCTATCCGTAAATGGGACAGCATCACTAACCGTCCAATCAGTTTGAAACTATAACCGTGCGCACCAAAATGCCTTTGTAGTAGCCAATGAGTAATTGCCAGCTTCTTTCAAAATTCACGCCGCTTGTGACCCTATAATAAACCCCTGCTTCCTCTGTTCGGGGCTCTCGACATCTGCCGTTGCATCAGTGCCTGTTGAGGGCCCGGACTCGAGCCCGTAATAAACTCCTTTATGTTCTTGCATCAGCTGTCTGCGTCCTTGGGAGCTGCACTGGTCGACATTGGGCACAACATATACCTGTCCAGGGAGCTACCCACATGGCACAGCAGACCTCTCCTGACTCACCCGCTGCTCCCCTCAGCAGTGTATTTTGGTGAATCTGCCTGTTCTGTTCCCCACTCTGTCTCTGATGAATCCTCTCCCCCCCCCCAAACACACACACACACACAAACACACACCTCTGGCCTGTACCCCAGTTCTTATATGCATAACTAAATAAATCTTTAAAAATAAAAATAAATAAATATTAAAAAATTTCCTTATTGTAAGGTCGAGGCTGGGGCAGAGATGGGGTAGAGGAGGGGGAACTTGAAACCGCTGCCACCTGCATCCCGGGAGCCGGCTCTGCCCAGTTTGCATGGGCCCTGATAAGCAGCGTTGAAAGAACAACCATTTCTGAGAGAAAAAACTTCTTTGAAAAGCAACTTAGACTCTGCATTCTCCAAGGCCTCCCTGCCAAGGCCAGCCCCTGCCCTATAAAAGCTTGCCCTTATCCCCCAACAGGGGTCGGCGAACCTCACCCATGAGCACAATTAATGTCTTGCCTGTGAGAAACTTAGCCTGGCTTTCCTTTTCTTTACTGCGCCAAACCCTTTCACTTATGACGGCAGCTAGACAGTGATAACCAAAAGGCGGAGAAACACTACTCCAGGAGGACTAAACTCACTGTTCCCTTCTAAGAGTATTTTCATTCTTATGAGAAAATGGCGGCACCATACGTGATTATAGGATCCAGAGATAATGAGAGCAAATGAGTAGATCTGGGTAGCATGAGAGGTGGATTGTATTGGACACAAACTTCAGATGTCCCTCTTCTTTCTAAAGATGCTACTCACCTCGCAAACTCTGCTCCCTCTCTCCAACCCCTCTCAGGCTAAACTGCATCTGCCTTAAGCACACACACCAAATCTTCCCACATTTCCCAGGTTAATAGCCCAGTCGCGAAACATGGTTGCTGACTGTGATGCATCACAGATGTATGTTCCAGAAAGATCTCCCTGAGAGGAACTGCCGCTGATGGGACAAGAGGTGAGAAGAAATGGAGCATGTGATATGCCTTTCTCCTCTGCCTGGATTGACCCTAGCTAAGCGTTCTCCTTCCAGAGGAGTCCCGCATGCTGGGTGAGAAAGCAGAGGAATAATCTCTGGCTCTTCCAGGATTATTGTGAAATCACCCTTTCAACAGCTCAGGTCTTTTGCATTGATTTGTAACCAGCCCAGCCTCAGTTCCCTCTATTGCCTTCCTCCTTGATCCCTGGTGTTTTACCTTGCAAATAAAACGCCAGCTTAAATTCTTGCTTCAGGCTCTGGTTTCTAGAAGACTCACACTAAGACGAGAGTAGTCATCCTGGTCCTTTCTGTCACCCAATAAATCTTAAGTATTAAAAAGCCAGAGTTTATTTCTTTCACTTGTGACTAAGAACCAAGAGTGCTGGATCATCGTGTCCAGACTGCCTTCCAGTGCCATAGTCACTCAAGTCCAGAACACCAAGCCCACGCTGTTCCCTAGAGATGGTGTCTTTTTGCTGGAATAATCCCTAAGTTATGACTCCAGCTCAAGTCTCAAGGTTTGACTAAATGTTTCCCCTCCACTAAGCATAGAGAGGAAACAAAGAAAGAGCTCTCCGCATGCCACCTTGTCACCGGGAACATGACACACACAGCAAATAACTCGCTTTCATGAGCCGTATCCAAATAAGCTTCTGTAAACCCTAAGGAGGAAGAAGCTCTTGAAAACAAAACAAAAGCAGAGCTCTTCACCTATTCCCCATTTACCTCACTGAAACTGCGAGGTGAAAACAACTGTTTTGAGGAAAATGCATCAGGGATACGATCTCAAGGGACTTAGAAGGAGCTAAATGCTCCATATGAGCCCAGCTCCAGGACTCTATTAAGTCTGGTGTTGCGGAAAGTCGGGCTGTGGAAACACAAGAGCTGCTCTTGGGCTCCTCCCGCTGGCCCTAACAGCAAGGACAGCCACTGGTCTAGATTCCAGCAACTTCCCAGGTCCTAACGCCCTTCAGAGGTAAGTGTCTTTGGAAGACAGCGTTACTCTTAAGCAGTTAAGCAAGTGCCTCGGGGCCTCAGAACAATTTGTGCCATACTGCTGATAGGTGGGAGGGGTGATGGGAAGATAAAACCAGTGATTGTCACCCAAAACCACACAGTTCCCCTTTCCAAGCAAGCCCGTATCAGCCCATGGCTTGGTGACCACAGGAGCTTCTGAGACGAATCTGGATCTTGCTCTGAGGTTTAGATACAGATGCCTGCCTGTTCTCTTTCTCATTTTAATTTTGTCTTGGAGTTCCCCTTCTACATGTAAGTTTCTCCCTTTCTCTGAATTTAAGCTGAACTTATCAGGGGTAAAGAATCCAGAGGTCCTGCACCAGCCTCCCACTACCATCAATTTTGGGGAGTCTTTTTTTCTGGAGTCTTCCTTGGTAGGGGTAGGGGAGGAATTACTTCCAAAATTGACTATTTCTAATATTTGAGAGAGGTGATTTTGGAGAAGAGATAAGGAAATGAGAGAGACAATACCAGGAGGACAGAAACACAAGGACCAGCACCTCTTGGCTCTTAAGCCAGTGTTCTTTCCAATAAACCACAAGGAAAACCATACTCAGCCCAATCTCCCTTCCCCATCTCTGGGCAACACCTTGGGAGATCTCTACAGCTCTCTGGCTACTTTTAGTTTAAAATATAAATTTCATTTTTTATCAAAGAGCTTTTTGCACTTATTCAAAACCCCAGTCCAACTTAACCCTTCAATTTCGCATCCTTCAAGCATCCTCCAAGCTTGAGGGTGACAACAGAGGAGAAAAGAGCAAGTCTTTGAGTCTGTTGCCATAGAATACTCTATAAGTGTGTGTATGTCAGTTGAGCTCTGTTATGAGACCATTTGGGGGGTCTTCAGTGACCCCCTTTCAGCGATTATGCCATTAAGTGGTCTTTATGATCCCTCTCTCATGAGAAATCTTCTCCCTGGCCCCTTACTGCTACAACCTCCTCTACCCTTGCAGCCTGGCTCTTGGTTGGAGTTCCAGTAAGGTCATACAAACCCCACAACTTCCTGCTGCATTCACTGGGCCTATGGGGGCCTCATGGATTCATGCCGTGCCATGAAGACCCAATTGCCCTTCTATGCCTTGCCCTTCCTCTGCCATAATGGTCCATCCAGTCACCCTCCACCTTTAGAAGGTAGCATCAAACTCAGACCTCTAGGTTCTCACATGGCTCCTAAACCTCCATCCACCTAACATCTAGCCACGAAGGAAGTAAAATTCTGTCTCCCATTCTTTTGTACTCATTTTCCAAGAGCAAGTCTTTTGGTGCCCTCCCCCTAACCTGAGTGGGAAGGAAAGTTCACACAACAATGTATTCCCATAAATATGGCCATGGGTCACAGGTGAAATGGTGGCAGGAGAACTATAGGGACTACAATGATGTAAGGAAAAAAAATAATTAATTAAGGATTAATTAATAAGGATTCCTAAGGCTCACTTATCTCTACTTTCCCAAACTGTTCACTTTAGTGACTCTTCATCTATCTGTCTTCTTTGATTTAAAGGATGAAGCTGAAAGCTTAGGTCCAGTTTCTTCAGATTTAAGTAGTTCCTTCATGGGTATCTACCATCCTTAGAATTTGGAGTACACCCGTCTGTCATCCTCAGTTTGGGGCATTCAACCACACTTGGAGCCACCTGCAAATATCACATTCAGAATCACGGAAGTTTAAAGCATGTTCCTTGAGCAGTAGCTATCATGTCTCCGTCTTATCTTTCTAAGGAATTTCCTGCGCCTCTGCACTGCTGAGTTAGTTCCTTACTGAGTAGTCCTTCTCCACTCTTTGTTCCTTTCAGCCTAGAGGAGAGCTCACTCGCCTGCAATGGCTGCTGCTGAATGGCGCCATCTTGGGTTCTTTGGCCAGACTACGAAGAACTTATGTTCCTTTCTTCAGGTCAGCAGGAATATGCGTCCAGGAAACCAAACCACCATCTCTGAATTCCTCCTCCTGGGACTCTCCAGCCAGGCAGAGCAGCAGAAGATCCTCTTTGTGCTTTTTCTGGGAATGTACCTGATCACTGTGGCTGGGAATGGACTCATCATTCTAGCCATTGGCTTGGATTCTTACCTCCACACTCCAATGTATCTCTTCCTTGCCAATCTATCCCTTGCTGATATTTCCTCCATTTCCACCTCGGTTCCCAAAATGTTAGTGAATATTCAGACCAAGAGCCAATCCATCTCCTATGGGAGCTGCATCACCCAGATGTACTTTTCTATCGTGTTTGTTGTTATTGACAATTTCCTTTTGGGGGTCATGGCCTATGACCGCTTTGTGGCTATCTGCCATCCCCTGAACTATGTCACCATCATGCAACCCAGACTCTGTGCTCTGCTCACCATCCTCCCCTGGGTCCTCAGCAACATCGTTGCCCTGACCCACACCCTCCTGCTCCTTCGACTGCTCTTCTGTGATGGCAACACGATCCCACACTTCTTCTGTGACCTGGCCCCTCTGCTCAAACTATCCTGCTCAGACACGATGATCAATGAGCTCATGCTGTTTGTCGTGGGCTTATCGGTCATCACCTTCCCCTTTGCCCTGATCTTCTTCTCCTATGTCTGCATCGTCAGGGCTGTCCTGAAAATCTCATCCACAGAGGGAAAGTGGAAAGCCTTCTCCACCTGCGCTTCTCACCTAATGGTTGTGTTGCTCTTCTATGGAACTATCGTAGGGGTTTATTTCTTCCCCTCAGCCATGCACCCTGAGGACACAAACAAGATCGGTGCAGTGCTGTTCACTGTGGTGACGCCCATGGTGAACCCCTTCATCTACAGCTTGAGGAACAAGGACATAAAAGGTACCCTGAGAAAGCTTGTCAATAGGAAAAGCTTCTGCCCTCTGATGCCCTGAGCATCTGGTGCCTGGACCACCAAGAGCAGGTAGATGATTCTGGCCTGAGGCCGCATCCCTTCTCAGGTAGAGCTCCAGCCACAGTGTGACGGGGATGCTGACCAGGCTAGACATGGGCACTGTGCAAGTTGGGAGCTTGCCTGAAAACATGATTTAGGATTAAGTTTGGGACACAAAAGACAATTGGTTAAATAGAGAATCACAAACTTTAAAGAAAACTTTGACACATTTTCATGGAGGAAAGGCATAAATCTGTACCTGGATGCCTGTGTTTCCCTGAATTATTCTCCTGTCTGTCATTTTCAATAAATACCTATTATAATCCTTCTATTTACCAGGCTCTGAGTCTGGGCCTGGAACTAAAAAGATTACTAATTCACTGTACCTGCCCTCAAGGCACGCACAAACAAAAGTGAGAAACTGACACAAAAATAATTTTAAATGGTTTTTAAGACTGAATAAAGACAATCTTTAGTCAATAATTAATGTTATTAGATTGAGGAAGCAGAAAAGTTTTGCGTAAAGCACAGTTGACTGGATTTCATGCTATTCTTGTTCTTTTGTGTAAGCCATTCCTGGGGTTTAAGCGTAAATTAACCCCTGTCATCCAAGTGGAAGTAACACGCATGCAATAGAAATATTTCCCAAAAATCCATACATTGGGTAAGACTGATTTATAAAACCAAATTTGTAAACAAGTATTTAGTAATTTGCTCACTAAAAAGTTTTGTTAGTGTCTAGTAAGAGTCGAAGATAAACCAGTACAGTTGTTTTCCTGGCTCTCACTTCATGGAGCATGAAATAGGCAATGAGCATAAAATAAAAACATGGTGATTTGATGGGCGGTCTCAAGCTCTGTGAGAAGCAGTGATGCGGGGTGAGGGGATGGACGATGACATGGGGTGCAATAGCTGTTTAAGATGTTCACAGCTTGGGGAGTCCCTCTCGGGTATTTGAACAGAGAACTGAATAAAATAAGGGAGGGACGCGTGAGAAGACCTGGGGAAACACATTCCAAGAAGAGGAAAGAGCAGGAGTGGAGATTTTGCTGCAGCAACAGGTTTGGACTCCTCTAGGAACTGGGGTTGGACAGGGGGAGGGCAAGTAGATGTAGTTATGGGGTTTCCTAGGGACTCAGCTTGGTTGAATTTTGTAGATGAGAGCAAATAATTTGAATTTTATTTAAATACTTTCAGTTAGTATTAAAATCCAATGGACTTGTTGAACTGACCTAAGGAGTAACCACAGAGGGAGAGGAAGGCTCTGACTTTGCCCCACTGTGTGACCCTGACATTTAGAAATAAGGACCCAGCAAAGGTAACTTAAGAGCAGCCTCAGGGAGGGAGACATATGAGAATAAGATAGTGTCAGAAAGGTGGAGAATGACAGTAAAAATCCTTCCAAGAAAAATGAGGCATCAGCTGCTTCAAATACCTCAGGACTGAGCCATCCCTCCTGAAATGTACTTTTCAATCCTTTCTCTCCAACCCATGCAGCTATCACGCTTAGCAATCTCTCCTCCAGCCCTGCATCCTCAGGGCTGAATGCAAATGGAAACAGCCTCCTTCAGAACATATTCTCAGAAGACGAACACATCTCAAGTTTCTTCTTTGCCCCCATCTTACTTTCACTCTTGACTCCTCGCTCTATATTCTTTGTTTTATAAGGACTTTAGATGACTCAGAACTACAAACCTCTGTGACCTTTCTAACCAAACAAGCATGCTCAGAAACTTCTACTTTCTTTGATAATAAAAGAATAATACACTGTGACCAAGTGTGACTTACCCCGAAATGCAAGAATTATATAACATTACAAAAGTTAATCAGTGTCACTCACATTTAATAAACAAACAAAAAAAAAAAACTATAAGACCATCCAAGGGGACACAGAAAAACCTCCTGGAAAAACCCTTTCTTGATTAAAAAAGTAAAACCTAAAACTATAAACTTCTAGAGGAGGAGAAAATCTTTGCAACCATAGGGATAGGCAAAAATTTATTTAAAATGAAACCAAAAGCACAACCACACATGGTACAATTGATAAATGGGACTTCATCAGAATTAAGTGCTTACTCTTTGAAAGGCACCAGAAAGCAATTCTTCATCCCTATATTCTATTCTTTGCCCACAAACAGAATAATCTTTTAATTTACCTCTGTCAACCGTCCACTGATTTCCTATGCACTCAGGCTAAATTTAAAGTCCTCTACCAAAACCTACATGGACCTATATGTAAAATGTATACCATAGACATTAAAAGAATGTTTTCTTTTTAATTGAGAAATTATTTTTATGGAGGTTTTGAGTCCATGGAAAGAAAAAAAAAAAAAAGAAATGGAAAGAAAATCTTAGGAAAGCATAGATCTCCTATCCAGGTCTCATATCCCAAATACAAAGAGCTCTCATATATCAATCACAAGACAACAACATGCTAACTTAAAAATGGGCAAAAGATTTGAACAGACATCTCACCAAAGAAGATGTGCAAAAGGTATTGAGCACATTGAAAGATGAAAGCATCCTCGAGAGAAAGCAAACTAAAATCCCAATGTGGTACCACTACATACCTTCTAGAATCCCAGCATTAAAAATCCTGGCCATGCCAAGTGCTGGGAGGATGGAAAGCATCTGGAATCCCAAGCACTCTTGAGTAGAAAGTTCTGATACAGCCACTTTGAAAAGCAGTTTGATACTTTCTTGAAAAGTTATTAACAGCAAGAGAGAGAGGGGGGGGGTCAAAACAGGGAGGGAAGGGCACAAGGGACTGTGGTAATGGATCATGAAGTGAGAGAACTATGAGGACCACCCCTTAGGGGAAAAAGCAAATACTACAAAAATTAACAATGATCTAATGATCTATAAGAAAATAAATATTAATCACAGACCTACCATATGATCCAACCTTTCTACCCTTAGATATTTACCTGAGAGATGAAAAGTATATACCCATACAAAGACATTTTATGAGTGTTTGTAACAACTTTATTTAAAATAGTCAAAAACTGGGCCTTCCCGGTGGCCTAGGGATTAAGTCTCAGCACTATCACCACAAAGGTCTAAGTTCAATCCCTGGCCAGGGAGATACCCACATGGCGCAGCAGACCTCTCCTGTCTTGCCCGCTGCTCCCCTCAGCAGTATATTTCAGTGGATCCACCTGTTCTGCTCCCCACTCTGTCCTCTGACCCCCTGCACCTCTGGCCTAGACCCCTGTTCTTCTATGCAAGAAAATAATAGTCAAAAACTGGGGGAAGAGAGGAAATTGGGGAGGGAGCGCATGGACTGTGGTGGAGGACTGTGGGCATCTTGGTGGTAGGTGTGGTGCAGTAACATCACCTGTTGTAAACCAGCATTACTTTAATTTTAAAAAATAGTCAAAACTAGAAATAGTCAAAATGCACATCAACAAGGGAATGCAAAACAAACTTTTACAGACCCGTACAATGGAATGATGCCCAGTAACAAAAAGGAAGCAAATATTGGTACCCGGAACAGTATTAGTAAATGTCAAGATAAGTATGTTCAGTGAAGGAAGTCAAGCATGGTTCCATTGCATCAAATTTATATAAAGTTCTAAGAAATCCAAACTAATGTAGAGTGTTAAAAGAGATTCTGGGTGACAAAAAGCCTGGGGTGTGAAGAGGGGCGTGGTGGAAGGAACTCATGGGAGAAAGAACAGCTGGTAAATGATGATTTGTGGGAATAACGTCTGTGTTCTTGATTGTCTTGGGATGTCCGTCTTGATTATGGTGATGGTTTCATGGAGTATTCGTGTCAAAACTCACCAAAGTGCACGCTTCAAATATGTGCCACTTATTGCACGTCAATGACAACTCAATAAAGCTGTTTTTAAAAAGTCTTAGGAAAGGGACCCCAGATAAATCCTTTGAGTAACATCATAGATAGATGAGAGACAGGCAGATAGATAGATAGACAGGTGATGGATGAGGATAGCTGGGTGGAGGGATAGGTAACAGGTAGATGATAGATGATGGTGGAGGTAGATAGATGATGATGATAGATACATAGATGCACAGACAGAGAAAAATAATGAATTATATATGATGTGTGTGTGTACACAATACTATTAAATGGTGAGAAATAACAATGATCCATGTTTGGAAAGGAATATTGATATCTTAGTGATCACCAAAGATTGAAAAAGATGTGAATACTATTGATAGGCCAGTGACTACTGGGAAGCACCACACTGATGAACTATTGAGATTTATTGGCAGAAGCTCTGATCCAAGAGGCGCTCTGGCAGAGCCTTAGATGGTGACAGTTCTGCTCCCTCTGAGGGAGTTAAAATTCCCCCAGCTCCTCCTCATGGACCTATAAGAATACAAAAATGAATTCCATGAACTTCACATTTATGTCAGGTTATAAGATGTGCCCGCCTGGGAACAAGGCGCCCAGGCAGGGGAGCGGGATTCAAAAGGCGCCATTCCCGCGCCACTGATCTGGGCTACAGCCCGCGTCCTGGAACTGAGGGCTTTGGAACTGAGACCCGGGGCACGAAATTAGGGGCGTGGGTTCCCCACGACGGTGGGGCACAAGGCAGACACAGAACCCCAAAGCCGTTGAGGTGTACCCTACCATCCCCGCTCTGCTCCCTGTCCCACGGGGTGGAAAATCAGCTCCCCAAGGGCTCTAGGAGAGATCTCTGGTGCCACCTAGCGACTTGACCCCAGCACAGGCTACTGAAGGAGCTAGTGGCCAGCTGGGGAGTTAGCCCACACCGGGCCCCTTCTGAACAAGTAGTCTGAGCCCACAGGGAGAGCGAGCACCCACAGCCGGGGCAGACCAGGCGCGCAGAATAGTGTGCCTGAGACCAGAAGCGCAGGGAGTGTGTCCCACATCACCATTTTAGAACAGGGACATTTCTTCAGTAAAGACTACCTGCAGAAGGCTTCCTCAGGAGCCAGAGGTGAGCGGGGGAAGTTCGCCCACGCCAGACCCCCTCTGGCCTGCAGTCCAAGCCCAGAGGGGAGCAGGAA